AGAGGTCAGGTGCGGTGCATTGCCTTTTCCAGCGCCCTAAGGTACCATGGCTGCATTCATTATTTTTTAGATTCTGTGCAGATGTCTTCCTCACCAATTTTGTTAAAAAACTTAAACCCAGTGATGAAGCATCCTCCATGGACCTTTTCTTCCTTTGGAGTTTTCATCAGCAACACCTTCCCTTCCAGTATCCAAGGAAGAGGTGTACTTCCTCCTTCCTGAGCCAAACCCTCCCCTCAGATCACGATGTCCTACTCTTTTTCATTGGTCCCCTCTGCCCAGCCGTTAAAAATACTTAAGTTGCTGACATCCTTTTTATTTTGAGATGGAGTCACTATCACCCAGGTTGGAGTGCAGTGGACACGATCTCGCCTCCTGCAACAACCTCCACTCACTTCAACCTCCACCTCCCAGGTTCAAGTGATTCTCCTACCACAGCCTCCCGAGTGCCTAGGATTACAGGTGTGCACAACCACAACCAGCTAATTTTTTTGTTGTCACCATGTTGGTCAGGGTGGTCTCAAACTCCTGACCTCAGGTGATCTGCTCCCCTTGGCTTTTCAAAGTGCTGAGATTATAGGCATGAGCCACCATACCCAGCCAGTTGCTGGCATCTTTAACAAATAGTCCTCCTTCCCCTTGTTCCAGTTGCCCTCGAAAGCTACTGTACTATCCTAGTCTGTTTGGGCTGATATAACAGAATACCATAGACTGGGTGGCTTATAAACCACAGAAATTTATTTCTCACATTTGTGAAGGCTGAAAGCCCAAGGTCAGGGTGGAGGAAGGAGAAGGTTTGTTGTCTGGGGAAGCCCTGATTCCTAGATGGTGCCTGTTTGCTGTGTTCTCAGGTGGTAGAAGATGTAACAGAGCACTCCAGGGCCTCTTTTACCAGGCATGAATTCCGATTAATGAGGACTCCTCCCTCAATAGCTGCAATCACCTCACAAAGTCCTCACCTCTGATACCGTTACATCAGGGATTAGGATTCAACATGAACTTTGAGGCAGACATTCAGTCTTCAGTCTATAGCATATGCTATCCCTCTTTTTTTTTTCTTTTTTTTTTTTGAGACGGAGTTTCCCTGTTGTTACCCAGGCTGAAGTGCAATGGCATGATCTCCGCTCACTGCAACCTCCGCCTTCTGGGTTCAAGCAATTTTCCTGCCTCAGCCTCCTGAGTTGCTGAGACTACAGGCGCGTGCCACCATGTCCAGCTAATTTTTTGTATTTTTAGTAGAGACAGGGTTTCACCATGTTGACCAGGATGGTCTCAATCTCTTGACCTCATGATCCACCCGCCTCGGCCTCCCAAAGTGCTGGGATTATAGGCACGAACCACCGTGCCCCGCCCCCTTTTTTCTTTAAGTGCCATCCCAGCCTTTTGCAGGTCTGGGCTCCACATTTCACTTCTGGTCATCGGTGAGTAACTCAGTAGTCTCTGTTATACCAGGTACCTTTAATGACTGGAGGGCCTACCGCAAGCTGTGTGACTTTGCCCTCCCAAAGTGCTAGGATTACAGGCATGAGACACTGTGCCCAGCCTTAGTATTATTATTAAGACAGAGTTTAGCTCTTATTGCCCAGGCTGGAGTGCAATAGTGCAATCTTGGCCCACGGCAACTTCCACCTCCTGGGTTCAAGTGATTCTCAAACGATTCAATCCTCCCAAGTAGCTGGGACTACAGGCATGCACCACCACGCCCAGATAATTTTTTTGCATTTTAGTAGAGATGGGGCTTTACCATGTTGGTCAGGCTGGCCTCAAACTCCTGACCTTAGGTGATCTACCTGCCTTGGCCTCTGAAAGTGCTGGGATTACCCAATACCCACAGTGTGGGGCAGTGTGTAAAGACAGCTGGAGCCAGAATGTTCGTGAGCTGATTATTGTTGAAGCTGGGTGTCAGTACATAGGGTTCATTATGCATTCTCTAGCTGTTATAGACAGAAATTCCCATAATAATTGATTTTAAAAGAAATCAGCCAGGCAAAGTGGCTCATGCCTATAATTCCTGCACTTTGGGAGATGAAAGTGGAAGGATGGCCTGGGGCCAGGAGTTTGAGACCAGCCTGGGCAACACAGGAAGACCCTGTCTCTACAAAAAATTCAAAAAATTAGCCAGGTGTGGTGGTGCACACCTGTAGTCCCAGCTACTTTGGAGGCTAAAGTGGGAGGACCATTTGAGCCCAGGAGTTTGAGGCTGCAGTGAGCTATGACTGTGCCATTGCACTCTGGCCTGGGTGACAAAAAGAGACCCTGTCTCTAAAAAATAATTTTTAAAAGATATTTAATTAACTAATTTACATATCTGAAGATGGAGTTTCACTCTGTCATACAGGCTGTAATGCAGTGGCATCATCTCGGCTCACTACATCTCCCAGGTTCAAGCAATTCTCCTACCTGAGCATCCTAAATAGCTGGGATTGCAGGTGTGGACCACCACACCCAACTAATTTTTGCATTTTTATTAAGAGACATGATTACACCATGTTGGCCAGGCTGGTCTCAAAATCCTGAACTCAAGGTGCTCCACCTGCCTCAGCCTCCCAAAATGTGAGATTCCAGGCGTGAGCCACCATGACAACCTTTTATATAAATTTTCTTTTTTAAAAGCGTTCTGGTTGGGTCAGTTGACAGGCCCCAGGTCCCTTGAGTCTCATTTACTTCCATTGCATGGCAGCAGCTTCTGTCCCTTCCCTGTTCCCCAGGAACAGGAGCCAGCACACCACTCCTTCCCTGCCCAGGTCCTCCGGCCCCACCTTGCCTCCCCCCAAGGCCACTCTCCTGGCAAGCCCACCCCAGTGCCTGGGATCTAGGGGAAGAGAGGCAGGTGGGGGTGGGCTTGCCTGCAGTGTAGGGATGATGCCAGTGGCCACCTGAAGCACAGCACTCATGGTGTCTGACACTTCAAACAAAGCTTTCCTGTCCTCCTGGGAGGAACATGGCAGAAGATGTTCCTCTTGGCACCCAGGGTCCCCACAGCCACACCCCACACTGAGGCATCCCTGCTGCCTTCCATGGGAAGAAGAATACTCAGTACCCAAAGGAAGGGCCGAGAGCTCCAAAAGCAGCCACAGATGGGGCTGAGTGCACAGGATTGGTGTAGGTACGGCAATCTTGAGGGTCCCTGCCTGGGTATGCTAGAACCCTGAGAACTGGCACATGGTGTGTAGGCAGGCAGGCCTCCCACAGCCACTGTCCCCAGCCTCACAACTGTAGGTCTTTGTTGCAGGTGCTGGCAAGTTCCTTGAGGGTCATCAGGAGCACAGAATGTTGCAAGAAGAGGGAGGCATGGGGTTGGACCAGGAATTCTGCCCCTGCTGAGGATCTCATATCCACCCTTCCTTTCTCCCTGCCATGCTCACCTGCCCAAACACACACCCTTGCTTTGCTCCAGATCAGCTCCAAGCTGTCGGGGTTTTTCTTCTGGGGCATCAGGCTGCTTCTGGTGCTGCAGACAAAGATGCAGGCACTGAAAGGGCTAGGCCCTTGTCTGGTCCAGCAGCTGACTGGCCAGGTCTGGCAGAGAGGGCAGGGAGGAAGGAAGCCATGCCTAAGGGGTGTGGAGAATGCAGAGGCTGGGAGGGGCAGGTGGAAGTGGCAGTTCAGGGCTTACCTGTAGGCATCTGAGAGCTACATGAAGCTGAATTCCTTGGTGCCACAGAGGATGAGGTCCCTGGCCATCCTGCTGAGATGGGTCATGCAGAATGAAGCCTAGAACAGGAACTCAGCTGGGAGAAAGAAAAGATTCCCAGTCACCAAGCCTCTCTGGTACTCACCCAGCCTGACCATACAGGGAGAAAGAGGACATTAGGCGGTAGGGGGGACCTGGCTACATTTTCATTTTTTTTTTCCAGACAGGGTCTGTTCTGTTGCCAGGCTGGAGTGCAGTGGTGAGATCTTGGCTCACTGCAGTCTCCACCTCCTAGGTTCTAGCAATTCTCCTGCTTTAGCCTTCTGAATAGCTGGCACCATGGTCAGCTAATTTTTCTATTTTTGTTAAAGACGGGATTTCACCATGTTGGCCAGAGGGTAGTCTTGATCTCTTGACCTCATGATCCACCTGGCTGGGTCTCCCAAAGTTCTTGATTAGAGGTGTGAGCCACTGTGCCTGACCTAAATGTTCATTCTGAGTAAAGATGGAGTCTTGCTATGTTGCCCATGCTGGTCTAAAACACCTGGGCTCAAGTAATCTTCCTGCCTTGGCCTCCCAAAGTGCTGGAATTACAAATGTGAGCCACTGCATTTAGCCTGTTTTTTGTTATTCTTGTTGTTTTAAATAAACCAGCTTTGGCTGGGTGTGGTGGCTCACTCCTGTAATCCCAGCACTTTGGGAGGCCAAGGTGGGCAGATCATGAGGTCAGGAGATTCAGACCATCTTGGCCAAAACGGTGAAACCCTTTCTCTACTAAAAATACAAAAATATTACCCGGGTGTGGTGGCACGCACCTGTAATCCCAGCTACTTGGGAGGCTGAGCCAGGAGAATTACCGGAACCTAGGAGGTGAAGGTTGCAGTGAGCTGCCATTGCACTCAAGTCTGGCAACAGAGCAAAACAAAACAAAAAATAAGATAAACCAGCTTTACTGAGGTATTGTTCACATAAAATCTACCCATTTATTTATTTTTATTTTATTTTAATTTTTGAGATAACGTTTCACTCTTGTTGCCCAGGCTAAAGTGTACTGGTGTGATCTCAGCTCACTGCAGCCTTGGACTCCTGGGTTCAAGCGATTCTCCTGCCTCAGCTCTCCAAGTAGCTACAGGTGCTCACCATCACACCTGGTTAAATTTTGTATTCTTAGTAGAAATGGGGTTTTACCAAGTTGGCCAGTGCTGGGATTACAGGCGTGAGCCACCGTGCCCTGCCCAATTTACTCATTTAAAGTTTACACTTTAGTGTACAATCAGTCTGACCATACAGGAGTAGGAGAAGACTGGAGAGAAGCTGGGCGGAGGGACAGAAGTGAGGCACCGGGCAGGGGACTGGCTCCCCAAAGTCACTTCACCCATGAAGTCATGCTCAGCTCACTGGTGGCATCCATGCTGTGAAGAGTGATGGCACCAAAGTTGAGTTCTGGGGGTTGGGAGGAAGCAGGGCTGGGCTGGAGAACAGGGAGTGTGGCCTCCTCTCCCCTAAGCTGGTTGCCTGGCCCCCTCCCCCTGGAAAAAGGATCAGGGAAGAGGATTAGGGTGGGTGGGGTGGGAGCTGGGGAAAGGCATCTTTTCCAGTCTAGGAGGGAGGTAGGAGCCCTGAGTCTCTCAGTACCAGGCGCCCCTGCCATGGGTGACCCTTGGCCTAGATAAGCTCAGTGCCCATAGGCAATGAATGATGGTTTCACCAGGGGCCACTAGCTCCTGCCTTCTGGTGTGTCTGCATCTCCTGGCGAGTGCTGAGGGTGACTCTCCCTAGGGAGGAGGGACAGGGTATCTCACCTGCTCAGAACAGCTCTCTGTCTATACCCAGGCGATTGCCCAAAATGGCCCTGCTTCAGGGACAGGGATTCATGGTGACCAGGGCTCCTGGCAGGCAACCCTGACAGACAGACAGAAAGACACACACACACACACACACACACACACACACACACAGAATGAAGTCCTAGTTGCCAGGGCAACCACCTGGAGCTCAACCTCTTCCCTGGCCCAGTCACCTTGGGTCCACAACACTTGTCCCCTCATGTCTCCTGAACACTTATCCCCAAGCACCGAGTAACCTTGGGTTCAGAACCCTTGTCTCCTGACACATGTCCCCATATGTCAGTCTGAGGGCAGTGGGCTGGACTCACTAGGAGCCTGAGGAGGCCAGCCCTGCTCAGACACATTCACTGGCTTGGATGTCCCCACCTTAGCAAGACCTGGGGATCCATGCAGGGTCCCCCTCTGAGCAGATAACCTGATTTTCTAACCCTTTCTGCCCTTCCCAGCACATGTGTGAATCCCTAGGCTATGCAGCAGCCACCCTCACCAGGCCCTTAGGGCACTGGAGTTTCACCCACCTCCCCAGGGGCAGGACAGCAATCAGCTTCACCTCCAGCAGCTGCTCAGAATCTAGGGTCAGCACCATGCACCATTGTGGAAAGCCAGGGGCAGGAGAGTCAGGGCAGCCAGGGTCCTCCCATCCAGTACAGCCCCAGCAACTCACCCAGCTCACCTCAGAATCCAGTGGCTCCAGTGATGGGGTTGGGCCCTCTGCAGGTGGGTGTACCCTGGGAAGAGGATGTCATGTTCCCTGTGGGAAAGGAGGAGCAGGGACTCAGGTGGAGGCCAGGTCAAGGCCTGCCAGTGACACTGGGACACTGCAGGCCTGGGTCACCCCGGGAAGATGTGTTGCCCTACAGCACTGCACCTGAATGAGGGATCCAGGGATCTCTCAGGGACAAATTGCTCTCAAAGGAAAAAGAGGACGAAATGGGGCCATGTGAACCATGGACTGGGCCTGACCTGTGGGGCTCCTGGGGTGAGGCTTTGACAGGAACACCCAAAGCCTGAGCCTCTGTCACTCAGCATCTCCCAGCAGGGGGCTAGAAAAGGGGAGGAGGCACATGTTGGGTATGACTTGGGAGGTTTCATTTGAGGACCCCAGAAATAGCTGGGGCTCATAAAGAGCTGCTCGGAGCAGGTGGGATACCCTGCCCCTCATTCAAGTTACTAATTTTTTGTACTTTTAATAGAAACAGGGTTTCACCATGTTGGCCAGGCTGGTCTCAAACTCTTGACCTCAGATTATCCACCCACCTTGGCCTCCTAAAGTGCTAGGATTACAGGCATGAGCCACTTCGTCCAGCCTGTTGTTGTTTTAAATAAACCAACTTTGCTGAGATATCACTCACACTTTAGTGCACACCCATCACCGATTTTAGAGCATTTTCGTCACCCCCTAAGGAAATTCTGTACTCAAGGCCAGGTATGGTGGCTCAAGCCTGTAACTCCAGCACTTTGGGAGGCCAAGATGGTAGAATCACTTGAGGCTGGGAGTTCAACCAGACCACGCCACATAGTGAAAACCCGTTACTACAAAAAAACGTAACAGTAGAAACTTTGCAGGGTGTGTTGCACACCTGCGGTCTTACCTACTCAGAAAGCTGAGGTGGGAAGATCATTTGAGTCCAGGAGTTTAAGGCTGCAGTGAAATATTACTGAGCCACTGCGCTCCAGCCTAGGTGACAGAGCAAGAGCTCGTCTCTAAAGACAATTAAACAGAGAAAATTTGGCCAGGTGTGGTTGCTCACGCCTGTAATGCCAGCAGTTTGGGAGGTCAACATGGGTGGACCACAAGATCAGGAGATTGAGAACATCCTGGCCACATGGTAATACCCTGTCTCTACTAAAAAATACAAAAATTAGCTGGGTGTGGCACATACCTGTAGTTCCAGCTACTGTGGAGACTGAGGCAGGAGAATTGCTTGAATCTGGGAGGCAGAGGTTGCACTGAGCCGAGTGCCACTGCACTTCAGCCTGGGTGACGAGAGCAAAACTCTGTCTTAAAAAAAAAAAAAAGTTAAGAATTTTAAAATTAGGCTGGGCGCAGTGGCTTATGCCTATAATCCCAGCACTCTGGCAGGCTGAGGTGGGCAGATCACCTGAGCTCAGGAGTTCAAGAGATCAGCCTGGCCAACATGGTAAAATCCATCTCTACTGAAAAAAAATACAAAAATTAGCTGCCTGTGGTGGCACACACCTGTAATCCCAGCTACTTGGGAGGCTGAGGTAGGAGAATCACTACCTCAGACACTCCCTGTTCTTCCTAGCAGGCTTGCCCCACCTCCATGGTCACAATTTGTGTGCCCTTATTTCCCTCCAAGTCTGAGAAACAGGGGTCACAGGGAGTTGATGAAGAGGAGATGTCTCTGACAACACGTAGAGACTCCTCAGTAGGAAAGGAAGGAAGGGAGGAAAGGAAGAAGGAGGGCAGGAACGAGAATGGGAAGTGTAAGTGCAAAGGGAAGGGAGGAAGAAAGAAAGAAAGAGAAAGAAAGAAGAAAAAAAAGAAAAAGAAAAAGGAAGAAAGGAAGTAAAGAGAAAGAAAGAAGTGGGAGGGAAAGGAAGGGAGGGAGGAAGGAAAAAGGAAGGAGGGAAGGAAAGAAAGAAGGAAGAAAGGAGAAGGGGAAGTGGAAGGGGAAGTAGAAGGGGAAGGGAAGGGAGGAAGAAAAAAAGAAAGAAAAAGGAATGAATGAAGAAAGGAAAAATAAGGAAAGAAAGAGAGGAGAGAAATAGTGGAAGGGAGGCACAGAAGAAAGGAAGGAAAGGAGGGAGGGAGAGAGGGAGGGAGGGGTGTGTCACTAAGGTCAGGTGGAAAAGGTTGGGGCTGGGCTGGGAGGCAGGAGGTGGAAGTAAGCAAGGAAGGAGGGGAGTGGAAGCAGGGAGACACTTGAGGAAAGGCAAGAAGAGGATCGAGCAGCAGGAAGGTGCCAGGGTCTGAGCTGGGAGACAGGTGATGCCCTGTGGAGCCCCCATGTTGGGGCTGCTCTGAGGAGCCAGGGTGTGGCTGCAAGTGAGTAGTAGAGGGTGACTGTGTGGCCACCCTCTAGTACTGAGGAGAAAGGGGTTGACAAGACTGGTGGTGGGAAGAGTCACTGGGGGTGGGGGAGCCCAGAGAGAGGGGCCCAAGGCCCAGAGAGCAGCTGCTCTCTGCCTCTGGTCTCTCATACTCTTTTCTGCACAGCTGTTCTGGGACATTCCATGACTGGGGGAGTTCATGACTCTCTCCTCACCACAGCTCCTCATACCCAGCCCCCTTAGCAGACTGAGACCCTCACTACAAGCCTGGCCCAAGTGCCCAGAGTCACTCCCTCCTCCCCTCCTTTCTCTCTGCCCTGCAGTCAGGGGCTCATGGCAGTCCAGGATCCCCCAGTACATGCTGGCACTTGCCTTATTTTGAGACAGAGTTTCACTCTTGTTGACCAGGCTGGAGTTTGGAGGCAAAATCTCAGCTCATTGCAACTCTCCTGCTTCAGCCTCCTGAGTAGCTGGGATTACAGGTACCCACCACCACACCCAGCTAATTTTTGTACTCTTTGTAGAGACAGGGTTTCACCATGTTGGCATGTTGGTCAGACTGGTCTCGAACTCCTGACCTCGTGATCCTGCTGCCTCAGCCTCTCAATGATGCTGAAACAACAGGTGTGAGCCACCAAGCCTGGATAATTTTTTATATTTTTTTAGTAGAGCCAGGGTTTCACCATGCTGGACAGGTTGGTCTTGAACTCCTGACTTCAGATGATCCACCTCCCAAAGTGCTGAGATTACAGGTGTGAGCCACTGCGCCCAGCTTTTGTTTTTGTTTTTCCTGAGATAGAGTCTCACTCTGTTGCCCAGGCTGGCATGTGGGGTATGATCCTGGCTCACTACACCCTCCACCTCCTAGGTTCAAGCAATTGTCTTGCCTCAGCCTCCCTAGTAGCTGGGATTACAGGTTCACAGCACCATGCCCAGCTCATTTTTGTATTTCTAGTTTCACCACGTTGGCCAGGCTGGTCTCCAACTCCTGACCTTGAGTGATCCTCCTACCGTGGCCTCCCCAAGCGCTGGGATTACAGGCATAGGCCACTGTTCCTGGCCATACTTGGTGGTCTTTAATGAACACCCTCTGGGTGAGTGAGTGCCCACTGGGAGCTGCCAGGCCCACCCCGTGTCTGTGGGGACTGCCCATCCCCCACCACCTGCTGAGTTAGCTGAGCTTGTGTTCTTTCCCTTTTCTCCAGCTCTCTAGGGACTTCATGAAGCCCCCGTTCCCTACCCACCAGCCTGGGGCACAAGAATCCACTCTCCACAGTGTCCCTCACCTCTGGGACTTATGTATTGGTTTGGTGGTTTTCAAATGTCCGCAATTAATTTCCAGCTCATCACCGTTGCGACGACAGTGCATGTCCTTCTGGAAAAAACATGTCTCCATCAACACCTTGGTGCTGAAGGACCTGAGGGGCCCACTCTAAAGATCCATTAATTGCCAGAGAAGGAGTTTCCCATAATTAGAAAATCATATTCTTTAAAATTCCCTAAGTGCCTTTTCACTGAACAGCCCAAACCCATAGTCATTTTATGCTTTGCAGAAAGTTACAACATGAGGCTCTCCCAGATCCACATCACCCACACACTGAGGGAGCAGGTCCAGGCCATTTTCAATAGGAAATACAGTGAGCAGTGGAACACCTCGGCGGAGGGACACGCAGACACTGTGGACAGAGAAGTGGGAGGCTTCCCACTTCCAGCCGAAACTATTCACTCCCTTACACATATTTCTTGAGGATTTACCAAATGCCAGGCATGTCTCAGGCACTGGGGATACTGCGGTGAATGAAACAGGAACTGTACTCATGAGCCTTGCACCTGGGCAACATGGCAAAACCCCGTCTCAACCAAAAATACAAATATATTAGCCAGGTGCGGTGGTGCACTCCTGTGGTGCCAGATACTCAGGAGGGTGAGGCAGGAGAATTGCTTGAGCCTGGGAAGTAGAGGTTGCAGTGAACTGAGATCACACCATTGCACTCCAGCCTGAGCAACAGAAGTGAAACTATCCAAAAAAAACAAAAAAAAAGCCTGGGCTTGGTGGTGGCTCACACCTACAATCCCAGCACTTTTGGAGGCTGAGGTGGGCAGATCATGAGATCAGGAGTTCAAGACCAGCCTGGTCAACTTATTGAAACTCCCTCTTTACTAAAAATACAAAAAATTAGCTGAGTGTCGTGGTGGCCACCTGTAATCCCAACTACTCAGGAGGCTGAGGCAGGAAAATCGTTTGAACCTGGTAGGCAGAGGTTGCAGTGAGTTGAGATCGCCCTACTGCACTTTAGCCTGGGCAACATAGTGAAACTGTCTTTAAAAAAAAAAAAAAAAAAAAAAGAGGAGCATAGGACATGGTAGCATGTTGGTGTGGCTTCTTCTTTCTTTTTTCCTTTCAGACAGTCTCTCTGTCACCCATGCTCGAGTGCAGTGGTGTGATCATGGTTCACTATAGCATCAAACTCCTGGGCTCAAGCAATCCTCAGCCTCCCAAGTGGCTGGAACCACAGGCATGCACCACCATGCCCAGCTTTTTAAAAGAAATTCTTAGGAGAGACAGGGTCTTGCTATGTCTCCCAGGCTGAACTCAAACTCTTAGAGTCAAGTGGTCCTCCCGCCTTGGCCTCCCAAAATGCTGGGATTACAGGCATGAGTCACCCTGCTGGCCTATTGTTTTATTTTCTGATCAAATAGCTCAGATTGTAATGCCTATACGTTTCCACGGTGCTACAACACTTTCGCATCGTTCACTCTTCTGCATGGATGCCTTTCCATCACATGTGTGAAATCCTATGTACACACGCCCCACACTGGCTCTCACTGCCAACCAGCAGGACCCTGCCTCTCACCCACAGGGGAAGCCTTGGGCATCAGGTACCCGGTCCAAGTGCCCTACAAGTGATAAGAGTAACCCCTGCCCCATAATCATCGAGGGGCTGCTCCCAGAAATCCTGTTCTGAAAACCCTGCACCTTCGAGCTATCGCTCCAGCCTGCTCCCCCACCACTCCGGTCGCCCTCCTACCACTCCAGCCCGCTTTCCTACCGCTCTTCCTACCCTCCGGCCGCCCTCCTACCGCTCCAGCCCGCTCCCCTACGACTCCCGCCGCCCTCCTACCCCTCCAGCCCGCTCCCCAACCCCTCCGGTCGCCCTCCTACTGATCCAACCCACTCCCCTAAGACTCCGGCCACCCTCCTACCGCTCCAGCCCGCTCCCCAACCCCTCCGGTCGCCCTCCTACTGATCCAACCCACTCCCCTAAGACTCCTGCCACCCTCCTATCCCTCCAGCCCGCTCCCCTATGACTCCAACCGCTCTCCTACCCCTCCAGCCCACTCCCGTCTGACTCTGGCCTCCCTTCTACCACTCCAGCCTGCTCCCCTATGACTCCGGCCGCCCTCCTACCACTCCGGCCGCCCTCCTAACCCTCCAGCCCGCTCCCCTACCTCTCCGGCCACCCTCCTACCGCTCCAGACCGCTCCCCTACGACTCCGGCCGCCCTCCTACCGCTCCAGCCCGCTCCCCTGCTGCTCCAGCTGCACTCCTACCGCGCCAACCTGCACCCCTACCGCGCCAACCTGCACCCCTACCGCTCCAACCGCCCTCCTACCGCTCCAACCGCCCTCCTACTGCTCCCCTACCGCTCCAGCCCACTCCCCTACCACTCCGGCGACCCTCCCACCGCTCCAGCCCGCTCCCCTACGACTCCGCCGCCCTCCTACCGCTCCAGCCCGCTCCCCTACAACTCCGGCCACCTTCCACCGCTCCAGCCCGCTCCCCTATCACTCCGGCCGCTCTCCTACGGCTCCAGCTCACTCCCCTACGACTCCGGCCACCCTCCTACCGCTCCAGCCCGCTCCCCTACCACTCCAGCTTGCTCGCCTACCGCTCCTGCCGCCCTCCTACTGCTCCAGCCCGCTTCCCTGCAGCTCTAGCTGCACTCCTACCACTCCAGCCAGCTCCCCTACCGCTCTGGCCACCGTCCTACAGCTCCAGCACGCTCCCCTACCACTCCAGCCGCCCTCCTACCACTCCAGCCCGCTCCCCTACCGCTCCAGCCCGCTCCCCTACCGCTCCAGCCGCCCTCCTACCACTCCAGCCAGCTCCCCTACCGCTCCAGTCGCCCTCCTACCACTCCAGCCAGCTCCCCTACTGCTCTGGCCACCCTCCTACAGGCTCCCCTACCGCTCCGGCCGCCCTCCTACCGCTCCAGCCCGCTCCCCTACCGCTCCAGCCGCCCTCCTACCGCTCTGCCCGCCCTCCTACCGCTCCAGCCCGCTCGCCTATGACTCCGGCCGCCATCCTACCTCTCCAGCCGCCCTGCTACCGCTCCAGCCAGCTTGCCTATGACTCCGGCTGCCCTCCTACCTCTCCAGCCGCTCCCCTACCGCTCCAGCCCGCTCCCCTACCTCTCTGACCGCCCTCCTACCCCTCCAGCCCGCTCCCCTACCGCTCCGGCCGCCCTCCTACCGCTCCAGCCCGCTCCCCTACCACTCCAGCCCGCTCCCCTACCGCTCCAGCCGCCCTCCTACCGCTCCGGCCGCCCTCCTACCGCTCCGGCCGCCCTTCTACCACTCCAGCCCGCTCGCCTATGACTCCAGCCGCCCTCCTACCGCTCCAGCCCGCTCGCCTATGACTCCGGCCGCCCTCCTACCTCTCCGGCCGCCCTCCTCTCCAGCCGCCCTCCTACTGCTCCAGCCAGCTTGCCTATGACTCCCGGCTGCCCTCCTACCTCTCCAGCCGCCCTCCTACCGCTCCAGCCCGCTCGCCTATGACTCCAGCCGCCCTCCTACCGCTCCAGCCCGCTCCGCCTATGACTCCGGCCCGCCCTCCTACCTCTCCAGCCGCCCTCCTACGATCCAGCCCGCTTGCCTATGACTCCGGCCGCCCTCCTACCTCTCCAGCCGCCCTCCTACCGCTCCAGCCCGCTTGCCTATGACTCCGGCCGCCCTCCTACCTCTCCAGCCACCCTCCTACCTACCGCTCCAGCCACTTGCCTATGACTCCAGCCGCCCTCCTACCTCTCCAGCCGCCCTCCTACCGCTCCAGCCTGCTCGCCTATGACTCCAGCCGCCCTCCTACCAACTCCAGCCCGCTCACCTATGACTCCGGCCGCCCTCCTACCTCTCCAGCCGCCCTCCTACCGCTCCAGCCAGCTTGCCTATGCCTATGACTCCGGCCACCCTCCTACCTCTCCAGCCGCCCCTCCTACCGCTCCAGCCTGCTCGCCTATGACTCCAGCCGCCCTCCTACCGCTCCAATCCGCTCGCCTATGACTCCAGTCGCCCTCCTGCCGCTCCAGCCCTCTCCCCGATGACTCTGGCCGCCCTCCTACCTCTAGCCCGCTACCTTAGAACTCCGGCCGCCCTCCTACCGCTCCAGGCAGCTCCCCTACGACTCCTGCCGCCCTCCTACCTCTCCAGCTGCCCTCCTACCGCTCCAGCCCGCTCACCTATGACTCCGGCCGCCCTCCTACCTCTCCAGCCGCCCCTCCTACCGCTCCAGCCAGCTTGCCTATGACTCCGACCGCCCTCCTACCTCTCCAGCTGCCCTCCTGCCACTCCAATCCGCTCGCCTATGACTCCAGCCGCCCTCCTACCGCTCCAGCCAGCTTGCCTATGACTCCGGCCACCCTCCTACCTCTCCAGCCGCCCTCCTACCGCTCCAGCCGCCTATGCTCAGCCCCTCCTACCACTCCAGCCCGCTCGCCTATGACTCCAGCTGCCCTCCTACCGCTCCAGCCCGCTCACCTATGACTCCGGCCGCCCTCCTACCTCTCCAGCCGCCCTCCTACTGCTCCAGCCAGCTTGCCTATGACTCCGACCACCCTCCTACCTCTCCAGCCGCCCTCCTACCGCTCCAATCCGCTCGCCTATGACTCCAGTCGCCCTCCTGCTGCTCCAGCCCTCTCCCTGATGACTCTGGCCGCCCTCCTACCTCTAGCCCGCTACCTTAGAACTCCGGCCGCCCTCCTACCGCTCCAGGCAGCTCCCCTACGACTCCTGCCGCCCTCCTCCTGCTCTAGCCGGTTCCCCTACCACTCCGGCCTCCTTCCTACCGCTCCAGTCCGCTCCCCTATGACTCTGGCCTCCCTCCTGCCACTCCAGCCTGCTCCCTATGATGCCGGCCACCCTCCTACCACTCCGGCCACCCTCCTACCCCTCCTCCAGCTCGCTCCCCTACCGCTCCTGCTGCACTCCTACCACGCCAACCTGCTCCCCTACTGCTACAGCCGCCCCCTACCGCTCCAACCGCCCTCCTACCGCTCCAACCCGCTCCCCTACCGCTCCGGCCACCCTCCTACCGCTCCAGCTCTCTCCCCTTCGACTCCGGCCACCCTCCTATCACTCCGGCCGGCTGCCTTCCTACCGCTCCAGCCCGCTCCCCTACCACTCCGGCTGCACTCCTACCGCTCCAGCCCTCTCTGCTACAACTCCAACCGCCCTCCTAACGCTCCGGCCGCCCTCCTACTGCTCCAGCCCGCTCCCCTAACACTCTGGCCGCTCTCCTACCGCTCCAGCCCGCTCCCCTACCGCTCCGGCCGCCCTCCTACCACTCCAGCCTGCTCCCCTACGCCCTCCTACCGCTCCAGCCGCTGCAGTTTCCGTCACCACCACCCGCTGCAGCGAGGCCAGCCGCGGTACAGCAGGCTGCAGCCTCCAGCAGTAGGTGGCTCTGCCGCCCCTTCTCCTGGTCCTCTAAGCCGTGAACATAGTGGCTTCTGATTTTAAACCTTAGCCGTGAACACAAGAGCCTGGAACAGCGTGAGGCGGCCTCAGCATGCCTTATATACTGAGGTTTTGCCCATGGTTCCTGGACTACATGTTCTGATTGGATGAGAGGAAACCTTTAGGCCTACTCTGATTGGGTTTTATTTTCATGCTCTGATTGGCTGGCCTCAGACTTGTTTTCATCCAATGAGACTGTGTAGTTCAGGAACCTCTGTGCTTACCCTCAGTATATAAATGGCTCTGTTGCGCAGGCACTTCATTCCAGGCTTTTCTGTGTCCATCGGCTGTGCTCCTCGGTGCTGGGCTTAGAGGAGTAGAAGACGGGAGAGCCAGCTGCCGCCTGCTGGAAGCTGGAGTCTGCAGTACTGCGGTTCGGTTCGCCTTGCTGCAGCTCACCTCACTGTGGTTGGCGGTAGCCACGAACGCATGCCCCGCCCCTGGAGCGGTAGGAGGGGAAACGAGTTTGGGGTGAGGTGGGAGGGCTAAGGAGGGTGGTTATTGCCAAAGGGACAAAGAGGATGGCGAACAGGATAAGATGTTGAAAAAAGACGGTGAGGAAAAGATGGTGGGAAAACTATTTTGGGGTAGATGGAAGGGGAAAATGGAGTGGCAAGTGAGAGGAGGAATGAGAGGATGGTGAGGGGGGAAGCAGGGGGCGAGGAAGAGGGAGAGAACCTTTTGTGAAAAGATGGTGGGGAAACGTTTTTGGGTAGATGGAAGGGGAAAATAGAGTGGCAAGTGACAGGAGGAATGAGAGGATGGTGAGGGGGGAAGCAGGGGGTGAGCAGGAGGGAGAGAAGGTCTGAAAAAATACGGGAGGAAAGAAGACAGTGCGTAAAAAGATTTTGGGCAGATGCAGAAGGAAGGAGGGGGACAAGTCGGAGAAGGAAAGGTGATGCAAAGAGGGAGGGGGAAGAGAAAGTGGGCAAGCAGGAAAAGAAGGGGAGAAAATTTTTTACGTAGATGAAGAGAGAAAAGAGGGTGGCGAGTGGGGAGGAGAAAAGGTTTTGCAAATAGACGATGGGCAGGAAAGAAAGACTGCAGAAAGAAAAGACAGTGGATAAAGTGGATAGATGGAGGGGGAAGAGGGTGGCAAGTGGGAAGAGAAAAGAGGGGGTGGCCAGAGGGAGTGCAGAAAGAGGGATGGGAAAAAGAAGATGGGGAAAATAGCGTAGAGGGCAAAGACGTGGCAAGCAGGATAAGGGGAAGAAGAGGGTGGGTGGGAAGCGGGGAAGGCTTTGCAAAAAAGATGGTGAGGAAATGTTTTGGGATAGATGGAGAAGGGAAATAGGGTGGCAAGAAGGAAAGGGGAAAAAGACGATGGGGCAAACAGTTTTGGGGAGATGAAGGGGGAAAAGAGGGTGCTGAGCAGGAGTGGTGAGAAGGCTTTGGTAAAAGATGGGGAAAGTGTTTTTGTGTAGATAGGAGCAAACGGGATGAGAGTGAGGCAGGAAAGAGGGTAGGAAAGAGGAAGAAAACACAGTGGGGGAAAATGGTGTAGAAAAGTTTTGGGGTAGATGAGTGGGGAAAACTGTAGTGAGCAAGAGAGTAGAGAAGTCTTTGTGAAATGACAGTGGGGGAAAATGTGGAAAAAGCTTTGGGGTAGATGGAGAAAGAAAAAGGCTGGCGAGAGGGAAGGGCCAAAGGCTGTTGGGAAAAGAAGATGGGAAAATAATGCTGGGGGACGGACAGAGGGTTTGGGTAGATCTTTTTCTGATTCTTAAATAAGGTTATTTGTATTTTTTGCTTTGGAGAAGTTTGAATTCTTTATATGTTTTCTGTATTAGCTGCTTGCCTGATGGCATAGTTTGCAAATTCTTCCATATTCTGAATTTTCTTCATTGTGATTGCTTCCTCTACTTTGCAGAAGCTTCTGTGTTTAATGCAATTGCATTTGACGCTTTTTGCTTTTGTTGTTGTGCTCAATTTCATGAAGGATTTATACTGTTTTCTTCTCTAGTAGTTTCATAGTCGCAGGTCCTACATTTAAATCTTTATTTTGAGTAGATTTTTGTATTTGGTAAGATAACGGTCTAGATTTATTCTTGACCGTTTATTATGTATGTGTTGTGTTGTCCTAGCACAGTTTATTGAAGAGACTGTCCGTTCCAAAGGTGTGTTTTTGGTGCCTTTGCTAAAAATGAGTTGACTTTAAATGCATGAATTTATTTCTGAGTTCTCTATGTCTGTGTGTCTGTCTGTCTCTCCCTTGCCACTTTTATGGCCAGTACCATGCTGTTTTTGTTACTAAAGATTTATAATACATTTTAAAATCAGGTATTGTGATGTTTCCAGTTTTTTTCTTTTTGTTCATGATTCTTTTATCTATCTGAGATATTTTGCATTTCTATGTGAATTTAGGATTTTTTTTCTGTTTCCATGAAGAATGACATGAATTGCACTGATTCTGCAGATCACATTGGGTGATAGATATTTTAATGTTCTAGTGCTTGGACATGGGCAATCTTTCCATCGTGTCTGTTTTGATATCTTGTCTCTTTTATCATTTTCATTGTGGGATCTTCCAAATTTTTTGTTGTGTTTAGGTATCTTTTTTGGGTGGTAGAAATAATGAAACAGCTTTCTTGAATTACGAAGGAATGTTGAATTTTATTTTTTTCAGCATTACTGAAATGATGATATATTTTTTCTTGATTTGCTGAATGTGATGTGGCACATTTACTTATTTGGGTTTATTGAATTGCCCTCATATTTCTCAGATGAATCCCTCTAAATCGTGGCAGATGATCTGCTTATTGTCTTGTCAAATGCAGTTTTCAAATAGTTGGTTGAGGATTTTTTGCATCTGTGTTTATCAGGGATATTTGCCTGTGGTTTGCTTTTTTGTGTTGTGTTTTGGTCTGGTTTTTGTACCTGGAAGTGTTCCTTCCTCTTTATTTTTGGGGGAATATTTTGAGTATATTTGGTATTAGCTCTTTTAAAAATGTTTCATTGAATTCAGTAGTAAAACCATGATTCTTGTGCTTTTCTTTGATGGGAGACTTTTTATTACTACTTTAATTGCATTACCCATAATTAGTCTGTTCTGTTTCTTATTTTTCTATCATTCTCTCCACACCAACCAAGGGAAGCAGTGGAGGCCCCAGCAAGTGGCCACACTAGCTGCTGCCCTTCTCTCTAGCCACTGACACATCTGGTTTATCTCAGTATCCCCAGGTGTCATGTGGGGGGCAGAGTATAGCCTTCCCTGGCCTAGGAATGCACCAACACAGGGCTCCAGGGTGAGCCCAGAGTTGGGGCTGCAGCTAGAACTTCAGGGAAGGAGAGGACCCTGACCTCTTGCTTCCTGGTTCCGGTGGTGAGGTTCCAGGAGTGTGGCCAGAGTGGGCCCAGTTGTGTAATAACAGGACAGAGAAGACAGCAGCCTTCAACACTTCACATGACAATGTGGCATAAGAACCACTGATCAATCCAGTCTTGGCCAGAAAGGCATTGCCATTGTTGAGAGAGCCACTGTCTGAGTGCCTGTAGCTATGTATGTATGAAATATATACATATATATAATGCTGTTTGGCTTACAGTGTCTAAAATATTTACCATCTAACGTGTCATAAGAAATGTTTGCCTCTCCCAGTGCTACCTGCTTATGATTGTGCATGACCCTGTAAAGATTTAACCACTTTTAATAACAATAAACAATATTAGCTACCGTTTACTGAGGCTCAGAAATGTTTAGTAACTTGCCTAAGGTCACACAGCTAGTAAGTGGCATAGTGGGATCTTGCAGTGACAGTTTGGAGGGAGAGGAGAATAAGTGATAGACTTGATTACTGCCATGCAGATGCAGGTGGCCCCCTGGACTTCAGCTTCTCCAGGTCTGTGCATAGCCAGGCAGCTCTGTGACCCCAATATCTCCTCATGAGGTTGCTCTGGGATGGCTGCCAAAGCTTCTTTTTAATAAAAATCCTCATGAGAACACTGTGACCAGAGCTTCTATGTTTCTGGCATTTTCCTTCCCGTGGGGCCGCCCAGCCTCAGCCGTTCTTTTGTAACTTGGCTAACTCCTTTCTGGTTTCCTCCTAGACTTTACCTTGTGGGTTCACAGGGGAGACTACTGTTGCTAAACCCTGCTGAGCGTCGTTTCTGGTGGGCAGAGTTGACAAGCCACCTGCTTCTTCACTACTCCTGACTCATCTCTGCAGAGCAGACACACCTCACTTTTTGGGCATCACTGAAGAATGTTCTGGTAAGTACGTTTCTCAGGAATCAAAGCTTAGTGCTCAGAACACTCAACTTTAGAAATTTGGAATTATTTTGCACATTAAATCTTTTTTTTATGTAAAAGATGGAGTCTTACTCTTACTGCCAAGGCTGGTGGCACAATCTCAGCTCACTGCAACCTCTGCCTCCCGGCTTCAAGCAATTTTCTTGTGCTAGCCTCCTGAGTAGCTGGGATTACAGGTGCCTGCCACCACACCCAGCTAAGTTTTACATTTTCCATAAAGACAGAGTTTCACCATGTTTGTCAGGCTGGTCTTGAACTCCTGAGCTCAGGTGATCCACCTGCCTCAGCTTCCCAAATTGCTGGGTCTGTGCTATGGCCAGGTCCAAGACAGGACCCAACCAAGTCTAGGGTGACAGCCAGGGCAGGGTCAAACCTAGGGTGTGGCCTAGACAGAGACAAGGCAGGCAGAGCAGGGCCAGGGTGATGCCAAGGCAAGGGAAAGGACAGAGAATGGCCAGGGCAGTGCCAGAACAAGGGTAAGGACAGTGCAGCTTCATGGCATGGCAAGAGTCCAGGGAAATGATCAGGGCCATAGCAGCACCGGCAACAGGGCTTGGTCTAGGACAGTGACAGCCAGGGTCAGGGGCCAGAGTAGTGCAAGACCAGGGTAATTCCAGGAATTTCAGGGTCAGGACAGGATCAGGACCAGTACAGAACCAGGTAATGCCTTAAGCAGGGAAAGGCCAGGGACGGGTCTAGGTTAGGGTCAGGTCAGGGCCATAACAGAGGGGCAAGGCTAGGGAAGGACCTGAGCAGGATAAGGGCCAGGGCCAGGGCTGTGACAGAGCAGGGTCATGGTGCAGCAGGGACAGAGCTGGTTCATAGACAGGACAGGACCAATGTCAAGGTAGAGCCAGGCTAGTGCCAGCTAGTAC